TTCTTACTTTTGGCTTTATTGATATGGTGGATTACATTTATTGATTTACATATGTTGAAACATCCCTGCATGCCTGGAGAAAATCTCACTTGGTCATAGTGTGTAATCTTCTTAATGATTTGCTGCAACCTATTTGCCAATATTGTACTGAGGATTTTTCCATTTATGGTCATTAGGGAGATTCTTCTATAGTTTACTTTTTTAGTTGGTCTTTCTCAGGTTTTGGTATGAGTAATATTTGCTTCCAGGAATGACTTAGGAAGGATTGCTTCCCTTTTAATTTCATTGAAAAGTTTGAGGAGTGTCGGCATTAGGTCTTCTTTGTATTTCTTGTAGAATTCTGCAGTGAATCTGTCTGGGCCTGGGCTCTTCATTGTGGGTAAGGACTTAATTACATTTTGAATTTCATTAATAGAAATTGGGTTATTCGTCTTCTGTAAAATATAAAATTGGGTTTTACATCTTCTTGACCTAGCTTTGGTAGATCATATGTTTCTAGGAATCTGTCTATTTTTTCTGTGTTATCAAACCTTTGAGAGTAGACATTTTCGAAATAGGTGTTGATGATCTTCTGTATTTCTATAGTGTGTAGTGATTTCACCTTTTTCATTTCTTATTGCATGAACTTGAGCTTTTTCTTCCCTTTTTTAAAAATAAGGTTGGCTAGGGGCTTATCAATTTTATATTCTTTTAATGAACCAACTCTTTGATTTGTTGATTCTTTGGATTGTTTTCTTAGTCTCTATTGCATTGATTTCTGCTCTGATTTTTATAATTTCCTCTCTTCTTTTGGCTTTGGGCTTGACTTGCTCTTCTTTTTCTAGCTGTTTGAGGTGTAGCATCAAGTTATTTATTTGTATTCGTTCTGTTTTCCTGATGTGGGAACTCAGTGCAATAAATTTTCCTCTGAGGACAGCTTTTGTTGTGTCCCACAGATTCTGGTTAGTTGTATTTGTATTTTCATTTGCTTGTAGTTATTGTTTAATTTCTTCTTTAATTTCCCCTGTGGCCCTCTGATTACTCCAAGCACAGCCAGGAACGGGGAGGCTGATGCCAGAGCCCCAGACCTGTCAAGCTGCTCAAGGCACCTGGAAGCTGTGAGGGTCCCAAACAAGCTGGACTCAGGTAAATGCGCAGGCACCTACTCCAGGCCACCAGGCCTCTGGACCAGTGGCTCCTGCCTGCTGGCTTAGTACTCCACAGTCTGCCAAGCCCAAATTATTTTAATATAGTGTTTTTTATTTTAAAAACAAAAAGGATAAAATGGTACAGAATTTCAAAATAAAATAGTAGGAAATTAACCCTAGTTAATATATGGCATATTTTTATCTTAAAAGTAGTTGTTGAGATTACAAGATTTAGGAATGAAAAAAGTAAGCAGTCAAATACTGAAAAGATAACTGTTCTTTTTGGTAAACTAACAGATTAGTGTTGTGTTATCTATCATGCACACACACATATATATATATATATATATATATATATGAATAAACATATACATACAACCTTTTCTTTCTTTTCTTCTTTCCCTATCCCAGTTTTTCTTTCCTTTTGAACACTCATTTTTATCGTTCCTAAAATGAAAAATGTAGTCCATGTCTCATAAATTCGTTCTACACACAATAAACATGGGCATATACATTTATTGCTCACAATTTTTCTGATCCTTATTAAAGACTGATGAATCATGAATGAACACACAGTTTCATTTTGAAGTTAATAATATGAAGGAAAATTGAGAAAAATAAAAGGGATTAGAGACATGAAAAAAATTTAAAGAGAAAAACAGCTGGATTTTAACATTCAAAAGGGAGCTGATGGGTGAAATAGAAAATATGGACAAGTTAGAGATACGGAGCACAAGACAAGAGAGTGAAGTAGTATGGAAAGCTGACCTTGGGTCTTGGGAAAGGGTCCTTTCTTTGCTGACACAAGGTAAGACTCAAGAGGGTCAGAAGCCTCAGAAGGAAAGAGTGTGCCAGGCTTTCAGTGCTAGACAAGGGAAAAGTCCACAGCTACTGGAATCTGAAAAAGCAGGGTGAAATTTTAATGTACAAATGAGTCCTACTGCAAGACATGCTACAATTGTAGAAATCCAGTGCAGTGCCCACGATATTTCCGATAACTTAATGAGGGGCTATTTTGACAATAATTATAAAGTTTCAGACTGAGTTACAGTACAAATACAGAACAACTGTATTTCAGAGTTGCCAATGTCAAGCTGCCCCACTGAATGGATGGGAAATGACCACAGGAGATAATCACAGAGAAGATGTGGGTTAACATGGATTTCTCCTGAGAAGTATAGATTGAGACCAATAAAGATGAGAGGTTTCACCCTCTGCACTGAGAATCATGAGAGTTATGTGTGTCTTTCACATGGGTCAGAAATTGCTGGCATTAAATCCAGCAATCTACTTGAACTCCCTCCTTGCCACCTACATTCAGCAATTAACTCATTTTTGTACTTTCTTTCTTTACCTACCAATGTGAAGAGTGATATGGCTTGGATGGGGTGATTGCTGAAGTCTGGAGCATGTGGACACAGAGGCTTCCAGAACAGTCAGGCGTGTCATCTCTCCAAGCCAGAAGAACACAGAAATTAGAGCTGTGAGATTGAGTACTGCTCTGGGATGGAAATTATTTAGCAATCATAAAAGGTGTGTAAATCAGAGTAGATCCAGCGTTCACACATACACACACACACAAACAGACACCATAGCAGTGACAGCATTTCTCCCTTATAACTAGTGTAATCCAGTTCTGCAGGAGGTTGAAAGAAAACACTCATTCAAAAACAGAAAAAAATGGACATTTTTCAATTTTTTTTCTTCTTTTATTATTTTTATTTGGAGAGGGTTTTTATACTTTTTTTGTTTTTTCTTTATTTTTTCTTTTTTTTCATTTTGCATTTTCTTTGTGCCTTTCTGTTATTTTTACCTAATTTTAATAATTTTCTTTTACCTTTCAGAAGAATCCTTTATCTCCCTTTTCTCATCACATTTTTTGTTTTAAAATTTTACTTCTTTTATTCTTCTGTTACCAACTCACTCTATATTTTCTGTTTTCATTAAGATTTATTACTCTGTAGTTATCCATTTACTAGTACTATTATTGAGCTTTATTAATCATTCAATCAGGATTAGTTCTAAATTTTGCTCTCTGATGTATTTTTTTCTCAGCAACTTATGACAGCAAGATAATTAGCTAACTCTGTTACTATTGTTGAACATTTTGATATTGATAATGGTGGTGAGTGTTGCATTTAGAAAACATTTATTGTATGCCTACAATTTATTGTATACTATGTCTATTATTGCTGATTTTGTTACTATTGTTATGGGAAAATAGTTGTGGTCATAATTGATTTTTACAGGCCAATATATTGTTTTTGTCTCATTAAAAATGCCACAGTTTATTTTCAGAGAACTGGATGCTGGGTGAATTTTGCAGCAACCCCTCATCCCAAATTAATGCATGAGGTTGGATCTTTGGACAGAGCAAAAGGCCTAAAGCTAACTGCTCAAAGTCAACCACTATAAAACAGAACAGAAACTAACTAAAGGATTCACTACACTGGCAACAGTCTTTTAACTTTAATTAACTTGCCAACCTTAGTACAAAACAAGCAAACATAAGCAATAAAAAATTAGAAAAAATGCCTCCAAAATCCTGCAACTCACATGAAATTTTATGTGCAATCAATGGTGAGAAAGTTAAAAGCCAAGAAAGTCAGTATTATATAACATTATATATATATATATATATATATATATATATATATATATATATGTGTGTGTGTGTGTGTGAAGAAATTAGAGCTGTGAGAGAGAGAGAGAGAGAGAGAGAGAGAGAGAGAGAGAGAGAAGCTGATTAGTAAGATGCTCCATAAGCTCAAAATAACATAATTTGATAGATAATGGATGTATAAAGTGATAAATGACCTTAAAAAGATAGATGAGTTAAACAAATTGATCCAAACATGGATGACCACATTTGCAAAGAAACATTCCATGAAAAGGTTTAAAAGAAATTAAAGGGATTAAAATTTCTGTTCTCTTATAAGTATGAGCAAAACTGATTAGTATTAGGACAGGGTATTTGAACTGGAAGATAAGGTCAATGCTAGAGATCATACACATGATAAATACCTTCAAAAAACAAAAGAATATGAAAAATTGATCCTACACCTTATAGATGATGGAATAACTAAGTTTAATTAGAATTAATGAAAACCCAAGATAGCACAAGTGGTATAAAAGATGTGTTTTCAGAAATAACAGCAGAAAACTTTGCAAATATGGAGAAAGAATTTAACATATAGAGAAGCAAGGCAAATAAATCCCAAACAGCTATGATCAGAAAAAAGTATTTTTCTTGACAAAGCATAATCAAATTTCAGAATTCCAGAATAAGAGCATGATCCTAAAACATGTTAGAGACCATGGACTTACCAAGGTTAACCCACTAAAATGAGAGCAAACTTTCCATTAAGTGCAAAAAGTCCAGAAAAACTTGTAATGGACTGTTTCAAACTTTAAAATAAAACAGCTTCCAACCCATACTGACATGTGTTGTTAAACTATCATTTAAAAATTGTAGAAAAATAAAGTATTTCCATGAAAAAAACACCTTAAGAAAATTCTGACCACGATACCATCACTCAAAATATTCTCAAGGATATCTGCCAAGACAGGTGAAGCCAACATTGCCAAAATTCTCATGGCAGGAACACATCAGACAGGTCAAGCAGTTAAGTAGAAGGAAAATAAAAGACTCAATAACAGAAAAAATAATATAAAAGGAATATGTAAGTATCTTTAAGTAATCACTCTCCATATGAATAATTTCAACTTTCTATTCCAAAACCACAAATTGCCAGATTGGATTAAAACATGGAACTGAACAATATGCTATATACAAGAAACATATTTCATCCCAAAAGACATTTACAGACTAAAAATCAAAGGATAGAAAAATATTCCATTCAATAATAGCCCAGTTTTACCTGGCAGCGGAGATACCATGATACTAAAGGTGGTTTTCCCAGGGTAAGTCTTATTCATTGTTTCATTGGATATGCTAAAACCTGTGATTTCCCCAAATGTGGCAAAATTGACTGCATAATTTGTGGTAGTGAGAGACTGTGGTTTCACTTTCCATTGAGAACAAAAGTAGCCCAAAAAAGTAGTTGCAGCTAGTCTATTATTAGAAAAAACTAATATAAAGTTAAAATTGATAGGAAGCTGCAAATGGCACTATATATTGGTTAAGAGTACAATTCAAAAATGGGAGATATAAATTTATATATGATTCAAACAATGGAAAATCTCTTTTAACACTACTGGACATACAAGATCAGATAAATAGCAACAGAATTAGAGATGGAACTTAATATCTCACTGTCATAAATAGATCAACTAGACAGAAACCCAAAAAGGAGATACAGAGTTGAATATGATCTTGATTGAGTCCTTGGTACAAATGGGCTTAATAGATATCCACAGAGTATTCCACCCAACAACAGAATACACATTGTTGTCAGTAGTACAAGGAACTTTCTTCAAAATAGACTGCATATTATTTCATAAAATAGGTTTAAGTAAATAGAAGGAATCAAACATTTCCATGCATATTATCACATTAGTGTGACAAAAGAAGAAAGCAGTGGCAAAAAACTACAAAAATTATGCAGACATATAAATTAATCAATATGGACTTTATTAATCTTTGAGACACTGAAACAGAAGGATAAGGAGAACTCCCAAAAACAAGAATGTTCACTATAACCATTACTGTTCAACACAATACTTGAAACATTAGTCAAAGAAAACAGATAAAAGAGAAATAAAAGGAAAATGCATGGGAAAGAAGGGGTCAATCTGTCATCATTTGTAACTGACATGATTATTTATATAGAGAATCAAGATACTTCATCAAAGATTCCTAGAATTAGTAATCAAATTCAGCACTTCTGCAAAATAATATCAGCACATAAAATCAGTAATGTTGCTCTATTCTAATAATGAACCTACAAAAAATTCTGGGAAGAAATAGCATTCTCACTGTCATGAAGAAAACTTAAATACTTAAGAATTAACCTAACAAAGGAAATGAAAGACTTATACAATGAAAACTACAGTATAAATCTTTAAAAAGAAGTATAAATTTGAGTCATACATAGGAAAGCAATGCACCCAAAGTGCATAATATCACGGAGAATGAATCAAGCACACAGTTTAAGTGTCACATTGGTGTTCTTATATGAGAGAATACAAATAAAGAAAAAAAATAAAAATAGATAACATGATAATGAGAAAACAGTTTCTACTTCATGTCAAAAGGAAACACAACACAATTAAAAACTTACCAACAAAAAATGCAGGTCCTGATGGATTTGCTGCTGAATTGTACAAGAAATTTAGAGAAGGGCTAAATAACAATTCTTCAATAAGTTTGAAAGGGAAAGAGTATTCCCAAGTTCATTCATATTAACAAGCATTACCCTGCTACTAAAACAGAGAAAGACTCAATGAAAAAAGGGAGCTACAGGTCCATCTTCCTCCTTAACATGAACAAAAAAGTCCTCACTAATATACTGATAAATGGAATGAAGCAACTCATCAAGATTATACACTATGACTAAGTAGGATTCATCCAAGGGATACAGGATGGTTCAACACATGCAAATTTGTAAATATAATACATTATATTAACATAGCCAAGAATAAAACCATTTGATCATTTCAATAGATACAGGAAAAGCACTTGCCAAAGTTCAACACTCATTCACTGTAGAAACTCTAGAGAAAAGTGGAACAGGTGTGCTTTATAAAATCCACGTATGGCACAACAATTGCCATGCTAAATGAACAAAAACTGATAACTTGCAAGTATGTCCACTGTAATTACTCCCATTTCATATAATTTTGGAAATAGCAGCCAGAGAAATTAGATAAGAGAAAAAAATAAAAGTAATAAATATAGGAAAAGAAGAATTAAAATTATCATTATTGGCAGATAGCATGATAGTACATATAGAAGTCTTCAGAAACTCCATCAAAGACTTGTAGATAAATAATTGCATTCAGTAACAGTGGATACAAAGTCAGTACTAATAGCTTTTCTGTACACAAATGACAAACTCACTGAGAAAGAAATTAAGGAAACAGCACTTTTCACAATAGCATCCTCCCAAATTTAAATAACTAGTGATCAATATAATGAAGGAAAATATTTCTACATGGAGATCTACAGTATGATGAAAAAAGAAATCAAAGAGGATAGCAGAACTCAGAAAGATATATTTTATTTTTGGGTAGGAAAAAGCAAAATAGTGAAAATTGTCATCTTTCAAAACTGTGATACAGATTTAATGCAATCATGATCAAAATTCTAATAGTATATCACACAGAATAAGAAAAAAACAATCTGAAACTCACTTAGAACAAGAAGAGACTTAGAACAACAAAGACAAGGCAAGGACCATCACAATAGCTCAATCCAAAATTATTCCACAAAGTTATTAGGATTAAAACAACACAGTACTGACAAAAAAATAGACTGAACAATCAATACAATAGATTACAAGATAAAGAAACAATTCTAGACACACTTAGTCAACTTATCTTTGACCAAGGAGCCAAATATTTTCACTGGACAAAAGACAGCCTCATTAATAAATGGTGCTGGAAAAACTGGCTTTCCATTTTTAAAGAACTAGAAACATTTATTTCACCAAGCATTCCTTCTAGTTTTATACTTTACAATATTCTCCAACACATTTTAAAAACTGGCAATCAAAAATCAGTACTGTCTTAAGATCCCTAAAGGGGATTAACAACTTTAAATTAAACACATGAAATTCAAAGATAAAATCACATCAAGTTTCTTAAAAATACAGACAGGGGCTCAGCACTACATATTTCTATTCTTAGATGAATAAGATGGATACAGTTGTGACTAACCTCAAAGAAATATTCCTTTACAAAAATATTCATATATTTATGGTTTCATAATTTTCCATATCTGAATTAAAATAAATTACTTATAGATAACTTATCATAACACACACCCCTTTCCCATCTCTTATTGAAAGTTACTTTAATTGCAAATGAAATTATTTATAGATATTTCTTAAAATTGTAGCACTGCTCATAAAATTGCTTCCCTTGTAATTAGGCAATGAGAAGTTTATTCAAAACATATTCTGCAAAAGGTGCCAATAATATTAAATTTTTCTCAATATAAACAACAATTCTGAACCTAGATAATCTCAAGGGTACTGTACTTAGAAAGCGAATTTAAACATCGTGTCCTGTGGTTAGCACCTAAATGCTTGACTTTGGGGAGTCAAACCCAAAGACTCTTGGGGTGTTTACTACAAGAAGAATCAGATAATTGATAGAAAATAGCTTTATCCCAATTTAAAATGTAATTTTACATTTTTAAAATATAGACAATTTTTAAGGATTTGTCTCAGTTACTTTTCTCTCATTTCTGGGACAAAATACCCCACCCAAAATGAAGGAAGAAAAAGGTTTATTTAACTTACAGTTTTTCGAGGTTTCGGTCAATAATCAGCTGGCTCCAAGACAGGTGGCATGGCACTGGGGCAACACTTCAAGGCAGCAGCTAGAGCAAAAGGAACAACCAGAGCAAAAGGGAAGGAAACAAGCCTTTGCTCTGGCTTGTAATGTACACAGGCCGTACTCCCTCCTCTTCAAGAAGTGTGTTGTCCTCACAAAATCCCCCTGCTCTCCTTTGCTCAGAATGAGGACGTTGATAAAGAAGAAACCCTGGTTCCTGCTGAGTCTCCAGGGTAAACTTCTAAAGTTCTCAATTTGCAACAATGTATCAACCATAACAAGGTTGATCATCTGTTTCTTTAGAAACATGGTCTGGCTTTGCTCACTGTATTTTAAATTATTGAACTTTCCAGAACTCAGAAATAACACACACGCTTTTTTTCAATCTGGATTTTCTCCTTTTTTCTGCTTTGTGGATACTTTGGACCATACCACATACACATCTAATGTGTGCTATCAGTGCTTTGCAAGTCATTCTAATAGGTTACCACCCATTGAATCTCAGTGCACATACTAAAAAGTATATTATGAGGCAGCTATAATATTGGTGAATGTATTGTGTAAAATTTGCAGTTGTAAAACTCTCCCAAATTACATTTTAAGAAATACACGGTTTTAAAATTTACTTGACTTTAATTCTTGAATTATATTTCTACTGAATTGAGGCTTTAAGACATGACTTTATGTCATTTCAACACAATCATATGATTTAACCCTTTGATCTTTGCGTTTGTATGTAATACTGTCTGTAACTTTAACTTCAGCATTTAGATGAAGATCAGTTATACAGCCTATGAGCTTCAGTGTTTAGCTTTAGACATAGTTGTATATGTACTGTTCAGTAATCCAAAAAAAGTTCATTTAATCGGCATTTAAAACCAATCCTTTAAAATTATTGAACAATTTCACTTAGAATTTACAGCAGACCAACTCTTGTATCAACCTTAAAAAAGACCTTAAAAAAGTTCCCTAAGTAATGAAAATTGTAATAGCAGAAACAAAAAAAAAAAGTATTGATAAAACATAAAATCCTTCTTCTCATGTCAGCTTTATAATGTTGTTAAGAACAGGTGAATATTTTAGGGAAAGTTAATTGTTTTCAACATTGAGAATTTTAGTTTCATATAGATGCATTAAGTTTTACAAAAGACTTTAAATAATCTCCTCTTCAGGACAGGGAATTTAATTATACACATTTTCATTCTGGAGAGGCCTTAACAGGATGCCAAGGGAAGCAAAAGGGTGATTCATCCTGAGGAAAAGGGAAGCCCGTGTGGCCAGAGGCTGTTTTTCCAGTCATGGGGGCCACGTCACTTGGGAGTCCTTAGGGAACCAATGAGTCCTCAGAAGAAAACTCCCTTAAATTTTAAAATAATTTACTAAAAGTCCAGAAATGAAGCAGTTTTAAACTACTTCTACTTATAAAAAATGTATAGAAAAACACTAATAGACCAAAATAGACTTTATGGACTTTTGGAAACAATTATACAATTGAATTAGTTATTATATTATAAATATTTGTAAACATTAACCCTATGTTTAGTTTACCCACCAACGATATGGTAGGTATTACACAA